TCTCAGGATGGGCAGCAGTTCACCGTTTTCCTTCAGTTCCTAAAAAGACACAAGCTGACATGTACCCGCGGCAGGGAGCTTTATGTCAGCTCGCTCCGTGAAGGTAGGGGTGGCATCCACCTATCAGTCTGTCAGTCAGCCTGAAGCCGTCTCCTTGGGTGTGCACCCCTTTCTGAGACACTGCCAACTACCTTCTGCTCCTTTCTCGCTAGGGCTCTGTGGGCCTCCAGGAAGAGCCCCAGGCAGGCTGCTGACCCTGGCAGCCACGCTCCGGGCTGTGGACACCCTGCCAAGTTCCCACCGACCATGGATCCGTGAGACACAGCACCCACGCCTGTGACCTCCTGCTTCACCTTTCTGCGTCCTCGCCCACACCTATGTGAGGCTGGACAGGGCCTGGCCGGCATGGGCCGGGGACGTGAGCTGACCTAGGCTGGGGCGCCTTCTTGATACGAAATTCTCTCCTGTGTACATGAGCCCACGGGTTCTCTCTGCACCAGCGGGTCTCAACCTGGGGGTCTAACGACCCTTTCACAGGGGTTACCTAAGACCATCGGAAAACACATTATTTCTGCCCTCTGTCTGTCTCCAGGCGGGTTCACTCACATGGGAGTACCCTGCATAAAGACTGTTACCCACACTACATCATACTTCAAGACAAAATTTCATTTATTTGTCATTATAAATAAACATTTCACAATATATAAGTACATACTGGTTATGTGATTCATCACTATGCTTTAATTATGTCCAATTTGTAACAATGAAAATACATCCTGCATATCGGATATTTACATGATGATTCAGAACAGTAACAACAAAAATAATCTTTTCAGTGGGGGTCACCACAACATGAGGAACTGTATTAAAGGGTCGCAGCATGAGGAAGGTTGAGAACCACTGCTCTAGACCACCAGCCTCACTCAGTACACACCCTGTACAAACCCGGCACACACCCAGTACAACCTACGACAACAGCAGAGTACAGACCACCGCCTCACCGGTACGCACACTGAACACACCCAAGACAATGGCAGCAGGAGTCTCTATCCAGGAGGAAACCTCCCGGCGTAGGACCGCTGGTCTCCCAACCTTCCCCAGCTGAGTCCAAAGTTCCAAACTCACGGCCTGACTCGCCGCCCCCCCCTTGCCGCCAGCACAGTGGAACTGTCCCCATGGACTCCCAAGACCGTACAGCGGAGAGCCTCATCATCCTCCCTCAGATCAGCTGGTGGGTTTGAACTGCTGCCCTTGCGCTCAGATTACAAAGTGCTACGTGTCGTAGTTGCTAGAGCCCACAGCAGGTTATCTGCACCAGCAAACCCAGCCTGGAGCACACGGCAGAGCCGAGCAGGCCCGTGCAAGGGCCCAACTGGAGGAGGCCGCAAGGCACTGGAGAGGCTTGCTGATTCCCACCCCTGCTCCCTGCTCCGGCCGACCCAGCCTGCAGTGCAGCATGCCAACACCTTGGGGCACCGGCAAGCTGTGCAGCCAGCGCTCCTGCCAGAACCAGCCTCGCTGAGGGACCCGCGGGGCCCTCCTGGCGGGACGTCTCAGGTGTGGCCCGTGTATAGCAGAGCCGTCACGCCGGGACTCTGCTGACAGGAACGAGGTCCCTGCGCAGTGTAAACCCCTCACTGACCAGTGGGAAAGGGCACCCATGAAGGCCAACCCACCCGTGACCCTCCCACAGTTCAAGGAACCCCAGGGGACATCTGAGGACAACCCTGATCTTCGGGGGGGAGGGGGAGGCCCACAGTAGCACTTAAAGACCCTCACTGATGGCTGTGGGAGCACCCTCTCCCATTGGGGCCAGGTCGTCTCGGCCCCCCACCCCACCCCCAGGCATAGCAACAAAGCCTGCGGCTCCCCTCCTCATCCATCCCCAGCAACTGGTCTACCGGACACCCTGCCACATAGAGACCATGGGACAGACAACTACCTATCACCCTGGGGCAGACCGCGCAGGACAGCGGTGGGCCAGCACCTCGGAGCTCAGTCAGCAGCTCACAGCACGGGCAGAGAAGCTACCCGGCCTGCTGTGCGCACGCCCGTCCCCATGTGGCAGCTGGAGGAGACCACAGCGCAGGCCTGTCCTGTTAGACTCGCAGAGGCTGCAACCCAGCCCCCTAAAAGCGTGAGGTACGCACAACTCCGGACCTGTGTCCCACTCACAGGCCAGGGTCTGCACGCAGCAGGCAGCACACACCTGCAGCTTCTCCCACCTCAGGGGACGGACCGACCAACCCGTCCTGGCAGAGCCTGCAGTCCTGTCCAGCACGTGCACATGACAGCCATGCCGGGCAGGCACTGGGAGCCACAAGTCCCTGCGGGGCAGCCTGCTCCGATTCCCCTGGGAGCGGGCCACCCCCAGCTCTGGCAAAGGCCTGGTCCTCAGATATGCTGGGGACAGGAGCACACTGGGAAGGCAGCACGCACACGTGAGAGCACGCCAGAGTGCAGAGCAGGGGCACACGCAGGACAGTGTGAGGGGAACGATGCTCCCTGAGACCTGGTCATTACTTGAGCCCCCAAACCAGCCCGGGAGGCTGGACACCTGGGGAGGGGCCGCCAGGGAGAAGCAGGTCAGGTGGCACAGTAAGGGCCATGGGACGAGGACACCACCTCCAAGCCCCACTCAGGACATCCGCCAACGCCCCCTCCTGGGGCACAGGACAGACCCGGCTCACCTTCACGATGTCCAGACCCCCTACGAGCTCCCCCTTCACATAGAGCTGCGGGTACGTGGGCCAGCTGGAGTAGGCCTTCAGCCCCTGCCGCACCTGCAGAGACAACAGGACGTGCAATGCCTCAGCCGGTCCTGCTGCGGAGCCCAGCCCGGCAGGAAGCCCAGCCCTGGATGCCCGGGGTCCAGCCCTGGAGACCCAGAGCCCTGCCCAGGCCTCACCTCCTCATCCTCCAGGATGTCAAATGTCTCGTACTCCACCCTGGAAGACAAGAGACACCTCAGCCCCCGCGCCAGCGTCTGGGCCCAGGGCTAAGGGACAAGACAAGTGAAGAGCAGGCGGCCAGGCGCCTTCTCCATGTGGGGACACCCAGCAGGGTCCCACGCCGCACTGCACGAGTGCCAGACTGCCGGCCAGGGCATGCATCCCCCCAAGTGGCCCAGGGCTGTCCTGCCGCCTGTCACCGTAGACCCAAGCCAGGGCCCACCCACTGTGGCACAGCCTGCCGGGCACCACAGTGTGCGTGCGCGTGCTCCTTTGTTTTTAAAAACTCAGACCAACCAGTCTTCGGGGCTGTCAGCAGGACCAGGGAGGACCTTGAGCGTGATCCTAACCCCCCACCTGAAGGCACCTGTGGCCACAGGCTGCAGTGTACATCCACCTTTACCAGCATGGCGATGCAGCTGTCAGGCAGACACATGGACAGGTACAGATACAGACGGGCAGGTAGGAGGTACGTACCCTGTACTGTTGAGAATCTCCAGGATTTGCTTGCTGAATCCACACTTGGCTTCCTGTGCTCACAAAAGGAGAGAGAAGTGTCTCCCAGTGTGTACCCAACAGGTAGGCGGGAAACCAGCCCAGGTGGTGCATGGGTCAAGCACTTGGACACAAGCTGAAAGGTGAGTGAACCCCAGTTGCTCTCGGGGAGGAAGGATGGGGCGGTCTCCCTGCACGACACTGATGTCCCAGAAGCGTCCCTGGCAGCTCCCCTCTGTCCGGTCACACGGAGTCGGACTCAGGGCAATGGCTTCCCTGGGTGTGGGCTGTTAATCATGACAACACTCTGACGGTGCAGAGGCTGAAGTCTTGGCTGTGAGCCAAATCCCCCAGCAGCCCGCTGCTTCCAGTGACTCTGCTTGGTGAATGGCCCCACATGCCTGGAGGCCAGATCCCCAGCCCCCCCAAAACCGCCCCCAGAGTGGCACAGTCAGGCTTCGTCCCTGATATGACCATGACCCACAGGCTCAAGATGGCCATGCTCCAGTGTGACCAGAAGAAACCATCCCCCAGCCAGGACCTCCTCCCCAGGCTCCTGCTGCTCCCACCTCAGAGCCAGGCCAGACCTCGGGCCGCCTCGCTCAGCGCTTACCCTGCGCCTGCCCTGGCTGGATGCCCGCGAAGGACGAGAGCTGCCACCACACAGTTCAAGGCACAGCTCCTCTCAGCAGGAGCAACAGGTAAGGCAGGCCGGTGGGCAGCACCAGCTCCGGGGCTCACTGCCCACAGACGGGCAGTGTCCTGCCAGTCCTCTCAGGGGCAGGACAAACCTACCTGCTGGCTGTTTCCCCACCTCAAACACAACACTCACCGAGGAGCCTAGCCCACCCCAATGCGGACAAGACTGAACCAGCAGCCCCGAGCAGCGCTCCCCCATGCCCCAACACCTGTCACTCCCCTCCCTGCACGTCCTCTGTGCAGCACGCAGCGTAAGGAGATGGGCAGATGCTCCCGGCACCCCTCCCGGCACTGTTCTCCGAGGCGTGCACCCAAGATCGCGGGGCCCTGCGCTCAGCCAACCGTGCCCCCGGGGGGTGTGGGAGAGAGTCCCACAAACCGGAGACCCTGTGGCTGGGCTCCCAGCAGCACCGGGCCTGGGCCCCTCCTGGGGGGTAGGGGCAGGGTGGAGGTGGCGTGCTCGGGCTGGGGGCCGCCCAGGCGGGCACGCACCTGCTTGCTCCCCTTCATGAAAAGCATCACTGTAGCCTTGTGTGTCAGCGTCTTCAGCCTGCAGAGCAGGAGACAGCGGTGAAGGGCGCCGCGCCACCTTTACCCACACCCACCCACCCACCGCCCAAGGGAGCCCCACCCCTCGCCCACACAGGGAGGGGTTCTTGGGCAGAGGCTTCCTTCAAGCTGCAGCTTGCAGTCTGGGAAACAGAACCCTAACAATCGACCCCGTGAGGGATTGCTCAGGAAGGGGTCCGTGTGCTGCGCCCACGCGGAGGGTTCAGAACTGCAGCTCGCAGGCAGGGAGTCAGTGCCAGGTCTGCCCAGCTCGACAGAGCATCACAGGATGCTGACAGCCTGCACCGCCAGAGCCGGGTCTCTGCCTCAGGCTGAGGGTGGCTCAGGAGCCGGGGGCAGGCCCTTGGAAGGGAGGCCCCGGATAGGCAGGGAAGCCGGCACCATAACCTTCTGAGCAGAGGCCTCTGAGGGTCACTTCCTAGCCCAAGGCCTTTCTAAGTCCACACTTCCAGGTGATGGTCACCCACCCACACAGCCCCAATTGAGCATGGCTAGTGTGGGAAGGGGCTTCCAAACAAATGCCTTTTTAATTCGCAAAGCAGGCCGGGAACATTTTCCTCCTCGGAGCACTCAGCACAGTGGCTTAGGGAGGCAGGTAACAGGCCGGGGTCAGTGGGGGGTGAGGCGCAGACATCACAGACCTGCTGCGAAGCCAGAGGCCGGTGTGGTACGACGGAAGGAGCTGCACACAGCAAAGCTATGACCCTGGCCCCCCAACACAGTCCATCCGTGGCCCCAGGAGGGTCCCAGGAGGCTCAGAGTCGAAAGCAAGATGGCACGAGCCCTCAGGAAGAGGGCATCTTACGCGGTCAGCATACCTCTCCTCCAGCTTGGGTGCTTTGGGGCAAATCGTGTCTAGCTCTTTCGATGCTTCCAGATCCTGAAAGACACAGACATGCGTAAGAGACCACGGCACCGACTGCTCACCGGCCACCGGACAGAAACCCCTATGCTGACCCCAGGCCCACAGTAGCCAAGGTGAGGCCCACAGGGTGGCCCTCGGCTGGGACAGGCTGGGGAAGTGGGGAGGGCAGGGAGGAGGTGGGGAGGGGACAGTCCATGGGGGGATGGATGAGAGACAAAGCGGGCAGACTGTGGGCTGT